ACACACACACACACACACACAAAACCACCTTCCTCGTTCTCCCTTCTATCCTCCCCCATGTGCCAAGATGTGGGGTGGGGGAGACAGAGGGGACAAGAGCACATCTTCACCGTGACGATGGGAATTGCAGGCAGGGACACACCAGCAGACATCCTACCTCTCCTTAGCTGCCTCTTTTTCTCAGGCTCTCTCCTCAGCCCCTTCCCTTCAACCCCAGCAACTTTTATCCCAACCTCCTTAACCTCTAATTCCTGCCTGAGCTCTCAGGCTTGGACCTGACAGGCACAGAGCTGGGGAGCCCCTCTCCCAGGGCCAGGGCTGGTAGGGTGCAGCTGGACACAGGTTCCAGCTCCCCATGCTGGGAAGGGCGGGATGAGACTTGTCTTTCTGTACTGTTAGGAGGCTCCTTCACACACAAGCGGCAGTCCTTTGTTAAAATTCTCTTGGAATTTGTAAACTATTTTTCTTTTGCCATACTCCTATGATTTTGTCTGCATGGGTTGCAGTGAGTAGAAAGAAGAGAATACATCGAGGAGCCAGCTAAAAGTAGGTGATTCTGACATTTAAATGTATTGTCACTTCAAATTGGCCCCGTGGGATGGGTCGAAAGGGGTAATTGTAACTTGCTGTTGTCACAGTCCTAAATCTGCATTCTGGATTATACCCAAGTTCCTGCCTAACGTCATCAGTAAGGAGACACTTAGCTGTCTCTTTCTAGGCCAGAGACTGGTCAGGGCCAGTGGTGATCTGTCCTGGACACTGAATGGTGCACACGCATCTAGCACAAATCTCGCCCACAATTTATGATTTTTCTAGATCCTGGAAGGATCACTGGATGAGTGAAGAAATGATGCATGTGGGCGTTTGCCAGATTAAACACAGTGGCATTCACGTTAGTTCACTTACAAAACTCTTCAGGAGAAGTATGTCTAGGGGCATTCCAGTCTTGCACACTAAAATGTGTTTTTTATTATTAAAGTAGTAACATACAATAACCATACATATTTGATGTATACAATTTGCTGAGTTTTGACGTATGTAGGCATCTGTGAAACCATGACTACAGTCAAGATAGTGAGGACATGCAGCACTCCCCAAAGTTTCCTCATGCCTCCGTGCCCAGCACACTAAAATTGTGAGCATTATTTTAATGGAAGAAACCACTAGCTTCATTCTCCAAAAGGGAGTATAGGCCCACAACATTGGTTCAATTCTATATGACATTATCTTTCTTTGGAAGTCCCTAGACCTCAACTTCCCCCTTGTTCAGGCTCAAATGGTTTGGTTTATTCCATAAAAGAAGCATAAGTGTGTGTGTGTGTGTGTGTGTGTGTGTGTGTGTGTTCACATATGCACACACCCTTGTAATGCACCTTAATATGATATGCACTAGAAGTAGTTGTTTCTTCCCCCAAATAAGCCATCCATTAAAAAAAAAAAAAGTAAATTTTCAGAAAGATTTTTTTTTTTCACTGAAATGTGTCGTCTTCTCACCATATGGAACCAACCTTTCTGACACATTCTAGCTACAGGCTTAGAAATTCTATTATTAGAACTCCAACTAGCCATTCAGATTATTATAAAGTAGTCAACTGCATGGGGTTGGAAGGACACAAACAGGATCCAAACAATTAGCTCTTGTCACTCTTGCTGTGTGAAAATTGAATGATAACACTCCCGGCAGGGGCCTTGGGCTCTGTGAACCAAGAGACTAGATGCTGCTACCCATGCAGTTCCCGGACACCACATAAAACCCAGGCTCCCATGGAGATGGTAATAATTCAACCAAACCCTCCACAAACAGTTGTTTTCTGTGCACCATCTTTTTACAAACCATGCAGCTGTAGTTTAATAAAGGGAAGCTTCTGCCTTTCCATATTTCTAAGAATGACTTTACTTTCCTGCATAACAGGTACATGACCTTAGCTGATAGAAAAGATTGTTTATTAAGAAAAAAGATCCTGTGGTGCATGTCAGAGGCCACTAATTTTATGAAGAAAACTTCCTCCTTTGCCACATGGCATCTGGATGAAGCATCCATCAATCAGTACTTGCTGAGATGAGATGTAGTCATTTTCCCTCACTATGCAATTGCCAGACTTATAAAATAGTTGGCTTGAGCCTGAAATGAACCATTTGTATTAGAGTACTACTGCACGCTTAGCCTCATGTAATACTGGGCCATTTACTTGTACTGTGAATACGTATTGAATTTCTACTATGTGCAAGGCATTGTAGGCACACAAACATAAATATGACACAATGTGGCCCTCAGAGTTTACCTCGCAGCAGAAATGCATATGGCACCCAAGAGAATATTTAACTCTGATGATGATGAAAAAAGAGAAGTCCAACAAGGAAGACTAGAGCACAGGCTTTTAGCTCCAAGGAAATTTGGGATGAGGCAAAGTTTCCATGTTAATTAACCACTTTCTTATTGTAATCTGCTCATATATCCCTTATTATACCAGCAAGGTGTCTGCACCTATTGTTTTCCTACATCTCTCTTTCCTGAACTTGACTAGAGGCCCACTGAGGCCATGTATGAAACTTATCTTTTATATCTTGGCATCAGCACCCACTAGGTGGTCTTACTGTTGCTGAATGAATGAGCAGAGTAGAGAGACTATATCTTCAGTGCATGACTTTGAGGCCTGCCTAGCCATGGGAGATGGCCTTTTAGGGATGGCTAACAGTATCCCTACTGTCCTTTCTTGAGGGAAGACTTTGTTTAATCTGCTACCTCCAAAATTTACTCCCTATAGGAAAAAAATTTATTTTCTGTTCATAAAACAAATGTAGCTCCATTGTGTACAGTTTTGCAAACACACAGAAAAACATAGAAAATAAATGTCTTTTGCAAAACTCTGTCCAAAATAACCATCACTAAGATTTTGGCCTATTTTCTTGGCTTTTTATGTGATAATATTACGTAAGTACTCTCTATGTACTTAATATTTTATAGTCAGTATATATTCTGTATACATTTAATATTTAATACCACTTCTTATATGTATATATTTAATCAATATTTTGGTCCATTTATTTATTCTTCTTTCTAATACGTTTGTTATTAGCATAGTTCTATAAACAGGAGGGACACACTAATATTAAATTCCAAAAGGAGCTCATTCACTTTAAATCTACTATCAAGTATACTCATTTCTTAAATCATCTCTTTCAGAATGGAATTAAATACTCTTGTTACAAGTTCTATTTTCAGAATAAATCATGGGAAGCTGATCCAGGTTATTCAGTCCCCACTTGCCTCCCGGGAGGGGGCCTATTCCACCAAGATGGTAATACTATTACATCATCTGGGACATTTTCAGTCAATTCCAAAGACCAAGGCCCTGAACCCTACTAGATGCAGACCACTCGCTCTGTTGAAAGTTGGAGTCATTAAACAGACAAAACATATCAGTGCCACTCCCCCAGCCCCCCATTCCCCATATCTTCCCTGCCCTGGGCTTTTCTGGCCTCCAGTCCCTTTCTAGAACAGTTGTCCTGC